TTTCATATTTTAAGTTGAAAAAATATATATATATTTTGTTAAAATAATTATTTGTGATTTGATTTAATCTCAAAATATTACTTTTGATTAGTTTTGAATCTACCATTAATTTATCCAATGAAAGGTACTGTGATTACGGGTTTTAACTGTATCCTTATTTTTCATGTACAATATTATTTTAGTTTGTTTATACATTAAATATTATGTTGACTAAATGCAATTACAATATTTATTATTTCAGTGTATATTGAGTTAACTAAAATAACCATTAACTTTTTATTTGTAACTTACAATCGATATATTTTAATGTATTCCTAATGTTTTAATTATTTCAAAAGGAATGCCAGGGGAAATGTTTATTTTATTTTCAAAAGTTCTTGAAACACAGGAATTCGAAAAATTACAAATCAATTAAAATTATTTTCATTGTTGTTTAATTTTTTAAAAAATTGTTGTACAATAATTTATTCGGACATAATAGTACAAACATTTGAATGTAATTTACAAATAATGGGTGCCTATGTAATACGAGTAGATAAACGTACTGGTACATCTGGAAAATATACAGTATAAGGCATAAAGACTGCAAATCAGCAAATATTATATAATAGACAGTCATCGTACATCTCATCTACGATAACACGAAAAATGAATGATGTTTTTTTAGTCGCAATGAACATTTGATTGGCTATCGTATAGTTTTCGTATTTTTTTCCCCGTACTGTATATTGTAATCTCATGATTATATCAGTATAATATTGCAATAATTTGGATTTTATTTTAAACATACTATATTGAACAAGTACGGTAGATCCATAAAGTATATATTCTTAGATACTACTTGGTTACAAGAATAAGATTTTGTCAGAACGCAACCGAATTATTGCATAGTTTGTACTCGAGTGTGTAGAATAAAGAATATACTTGCTACGTCCGAACAATCATTTGTCAAATTAATTTCATCTATTATTAACGCGCATTGGCTAAAATGGTAATTATTGTTGTTTTTTTTACCGGTGGTGTAGTGTTCATTTCTAAAACTATTCCGTGCACAAAAAGGATTTTTATAAGGAACAAACGATTTCGTATCTAAGTGTCGGTTGTTGCGAAATCGGGGGTTGGTTAATCAAGACAGCCGCCGAATGTGTAATTAATTTATTTTACAACCTCCGACATTTTACTAGCCCCCGGGGTACTGAAGAGAAAAGAAAAAACTACACAAGTTCATTCATTGTCGACAAGGCCGCCCTTGTTCACAAAGATCGTAAAGCACACAAGAAACACTGGTTAACACAGCTCGAATAATTTTTTTTTTCTTAGCCAAGTTGTTGTTTTTTCTTCTTCTTTTATTGCGCAATAAAAAAACCCTTACGAAAAAATAAAAATAAAAATAATAATAATAAAATAAGGCAAATAATAAAAATAAAATTATATCCCACTCTGCGACCGCACAAATTGCTGCTTGCTTTGTAATTCTTATCAATTACATTTATATAATATTAAAAACATTTTGTTTTTCCAGTATTATTCTCATTGCCTTCAGCCATAACGTTTTATTTCATTATATTCACCTGTAAACATGTATAAACAACTCAAATATACATACTCTATGTACAGATGCCGCGACGATTTCGCAATTTGTTTTTAGGGGGAAAAAATGAAAATGACCCCTTCGACTGGTATGCGTTTTTTTCCATCGGAGGGTTACACATACAGTTCGTACGGTATACATTCGATATAAATTATAATTATATTAACCACCGGGGGATTTAAACCCCACATTTAAGTATGTGTGAGTTTATGTATGTTATTTTTTCTACGTTCGCGTATTATGTAGGGTTTACGGTTTACTTTTACAGTCCACTCAATCTGGTTGTACATAGCAGGTGGCTTTTGAACAGGTGAACACCTGCGATCTGAACTTTGCGTGGACAAACATCACGCAACTGTAGAACTATATTAAAATATTGTATACTCACCGCGTGACGAGTTTCCTGACCCTATATGATATAGCCGACGATCCTTCAAAGGTCACAGTCAAAGTGATCGTATGGGCGGTGTTATTATATTCGTATACAAGATATATAAAATATATATATAAATTTATGTATATTTTTTTTCGTGTCGGGTGACATATATTTTTAATTAAACATTTAATAACGTACATTGCGTACAACAAAACTATAAATAAATATACTCGTATAAGTATGTTTAATTTTGTTTATTTATTTTTGTAAAGTATAATAAAAGATTCCACCTCCTCCTCACTCTTTGTAACGTTAATATATTGATTATTGACGTTCTTCGTCTTTTCTCCTCTTTGCATTCTACTTCAACTCAACTGAGAGCTTTACAATTTACGGTAGCCAAACTTATACAGTTACAGTAGCTTAATATTTAACCTAGGCATAGGTAAAATTTAACCTTTACATAGGCGCAATTAGAGTTTTTTTTTTTTGTATCATTTTGATAAATTACTTATTTTTAATTTGTACTTGTAGCTCTTTTGTAAAAAATAAATAAATATTTAGGGGCTAAACAAATATTAGAGAGGTGTTAATCCCCTCTGGCCTCTCTTAATTGTGATTATGTTGATTTAACTACATTTTCGATGTACATATTGTGGTTTGCATATTGTGCATGTTCACATCGGCGTTTGTTTGAAATAAAAATGCTGAACATTTGATTAGTTATTTATTTTATTTTTTTTTTGCTTTTTTTTAATGTTTATTATTTCCATGGCCTTTCAAGACTATTTCACATTCCACTTTAACTGTACAAGTATCTACTATGTTATTCCATAACCCCTATGACGTTAATTTTCAATCAAATAATTATTTTATTTTGAGAAGCAATTTTGACGTTTTTAAATATATATCAGTCAAACATTAATAGATTTATATGAAATCCTTTTTTTTGTTTATGTATTTTATTTTCATCATTTTTTGATCATTGTTTATGTTATAAAGTGATTAAATAATATTATTCGGTAATACAATACATAATATTATTTTATAGTTACGTATTGTTAGTTACAATACGATTGAGGATTTAAATAACACAATAATTTTAGATTTACAAATATATTACGGGTATTATGACCTGTATTGTTAGAAATGTACTCATATCTGAAAAGTTTACCGATATCGTTAGTTAGTATGTAAACTATTATTAGTTGATATTTTTCCCCATATTATGTAACTTACAGTTTGCTATAATATATTATATGCACTTGTATTTGAAATTATATTTTTAATAAGTACCAATTAAATCACTGTTCAAGTATTCACATATTTAAGTGTAATGATAGCACATAATTTTATTCACTCTATTGTAATTGATGAGTATTTATAAACAGACAAAAAACATATCTTACTGAATTATAAAGATGTGATGAATCTAATAGTTGCTGGCTTAATACAGTTGTAAAAATATTACAGCAATTTGTTGTTTAAAATGTTAGCTGTGAAAATACAATACATACAGATTATATTATAATTAGGTAATAGAATTATTTGGAAAATAAATCAATGTACATTTTATCAACACAAAATATTTCATTTTAACTCGTATTTATTTTTTCAGCATCTACAACTATAAGGGTACAAGTCGTCTTATTACTATGTTACAATTTCTATTTTTACAAACCTACAACTGTACATATTTTCTATTATTACAATAATCTAAATTAGAAATTAAAAAATAAATAAATACATCCCGAGTCTGGATAAACAATTTTTGATTAAAATACGTTATTATCCACATAGAAAATTTGTTGATTACAATATTGATATAATAACAAAATATGTTGTATTTTACGTTATATAATACAATAATATTGTAAATGTCAAAATTTTGCTAGTTAATAACATTTCTGATGAAGTGTTAGGGTTCTCGGAGAAAGAAACTGCCGAGTCACGTTAGCGCTTGTTTTGACAAATGATTTCAACAGTTTCTCCATAGGGACGGGGTGAAAAAGACCGTTATAAAACGGAAAGTCTATTAATATATTTATTTATAATTGGACAATCTTTTGACATAGCTGATGTAACAAATAAAATAATATTTCAGTTTGATTACTGATTATTTTAGTATATTTTCTTATCGAGTACTGAAGAATGTATTTAAAATTAAAAAAAAAAAAAACCCATCCTCGTATATGAATATTTATTAATTATTAAAAATTATATTGCACATTTCCGTTCATTCATTACGCTGAAGAAAAGATCACAGTTTTGATTAAAATTATAAATTAAAATTACTTATTTACATGCATATAGGTTACCTATACTGATCATATTTTTTGTACAATTTTAATATCCTAGCTAGAATTATTTACAACAAAATGATTTTCACTTAAGTGCAACGAGACAACAATTTATTGTATAATATTATATTAATGACTTTGTATGAAATGCTTTGGTTACGTCCATAATATGGTCCAAATAAAAATCCATATTGATGGTTCAGAGTAACACTAGTAGCTGATACGTATTGATGTAGGTATACGAATATTTTTTTTAATTTAAATAAATTAAATAGATTTGTTGAATATTCATCATTAACATTTTATATGACATTCACTATAAAATAAGTATGAACAATAATGTTCAGGTAGAAGTAACGGGATTTAAACATTTATTGTTAGTTTTTTAAAAACAACGAAGTTCCTTATAAAAATTAAAATAGCACTGAACGACACATTATCCATATATAATAATTATAACATATTTCTACCGATATTTCATATATAATAACTTAGTATTATAAGATTAACTGATAAAAAAAAAAAAAAAATTATAAAAATTATAAAATAAATCGTTCTCATTTCCATATTATAATCAAAATTTTCATTTTAAATATATTTATATGTTGTAGTTATTACATACCTATTTTTATAATGATTAATATCATGAAAACTTAGAAGTTTGTAATGATAAATTTATATTGTCATTTATAATTTTTTTTTTCTTTTGAATTTAATGAGTATTTTTTTCTTTAAGAATCAGTACAATGAGTTGTTTAATTCAAATAAATATCATTTAAACTGGCTTTACATTTTACAATTTGTAACCAAGATAATTGTAAGTATACGGGCTAATTATTAGGATGGACATCATGTTAGGCGCTACTTGGTAATTTTTCATAATATTAATTTATTATTTATCTTTAATAGATTTGTAAATATTTTGTAAAATAAATAAATTGTATAGTTTTAATTTGATTTTTTACCGTTAAACTTAGAATATTCAAAAAGCTTACATGGACAGTAAGTTTCCGAAAATAGAGAATGTTGCTTTAACTCAAACCGTACAGTTAAAATAAAAATAATAAAATAGTCTCGATATGTCAATCGTAATTTTAGTATTATATCATAGACAAAACCAAAACTTGAATTACGTTGACATAGTTATTACGAACTACTGTTGAAAATGTAGTTTAAACGCAAATACTTTACTATTTCTACTAGATCTCATCATATTTTTGTAATTGCAATACAAAAGAATCATTATTTTAATTTTAAATTGAAGCACGTCTCGGGTTTTTTTTATTCTAAATCGTATTCAGAAATACTTTATGACAAAGCGGGTACATATTTAACATATTTATACAAAGTTATAAACACTAACTTATTATTACAATATTTGTTTCTGAAGTAATTCTGTTAATTTATTCGATAAAAGTATAACCACAGGAGAGTGTGTACTGGCAACAGGATAGTAGCGGCGTCAAAAACAGGCCAGGTAGGGCCATTGACCTTACCTGAAAATGCCTGATCTAATCTTATACATAATAATATAGTAATTTTTCATAAATAGAATTATTTTTAAGTAGTTTTTGTATATTATTAGTATAGTGATATAATCATTTAAAATTATAAAATATATTAATTAGCTCATATTAATTTTTTTGTCCTACCTTATAATCGTTGGCCATTTATTGGCTCTATCTAAAAAAGAATCCTGTCGCCACTACTGGGAAGGAATGTGTTTCAACATACACTGCATCGTTCGGTAATTTATACCTGAGACGATAACAACGGAGCTAATATGTACACGATGGTTGTACATATAATGTATTTTTTATATGCATTTTATTTCTTCTATACGAACGGTTTTCAATTTTATTCGTTTCCTATGTTTCGTGTTCGTCTTACACGACCAGCCGTTTTCATTACCGTGTAACTTGGTCACGTGCAAAAATATTTTCAACTAGGCGAAAGGTGCCTTCTCCTTTTTCACATCCAAGACATTACATTTTATTAAAACGACGTTAGGGCTGCGCGTGCTCCCGCAACGAATGCGTTGGTGGGATCTTATCGACTTGTTACAATATACAAACTGTCATAATATTAAATTATCATTGCCTGTAAGTGAACATCACGCGCATACGTTTTATGTATTATATTATTGTGGTATCTTTAGGAACATAATAAGGGGCATTCATACTTGTGCATAGTTCGAGAAGCTGATCTAAATCTGTACATTAGATTTACTAGACGTATAGTATAATAATTTACCATAATACTATCTATGAAACTACAGTTGGTGGACAGTTCATCACGTAATAGTGGTGATGAAGGGAGGACAGGAGAAGATCAAAACCCATTGAATATATAAGCACCACTGAAAGCATGTGTATGTGGAGAAATATAGAGGGAAAGTGGTAGAGAGATAAAGGATCATGTTGATAATCCGAAACTGTACATAATAATATTGATATCGTGTTGTGTGTGCTGCATACAGCGCGATTAGGGAGTGGCTATTTGAAATATTATATTGAAAACTGTTTTTTATTTATTTTTTTTATTATTTTTTTTTTCTCGCAAATGAAATGAGCACGTTTAGGAAGGGATTATCATTGTATCGCGGCCATTACGACGTCATTCCGTCAATGTTGGGCCGCGAACTTCATACGCTTTTGCTTTTGCCTCTGGTTGCAGAACCACACCCTGACCACGTTCTTCTTCAGATCCAATTTCTCCGCAATGGCCGCGATCTTCTCGCCCGACGGCCTCGGCTGCACCGCGAAGTACGCCTCTAGCGACCGTTTTTCGGGCGCCGCGATGGAAGTGCGTTTTCGTTTCTTCTCACCGGCCGGCAGAACGCTTGGCGCATCCGGGTCCCGGCGTTTGTTCTTCGCCTGCGCCTCCGCCTCCTCTAGCCACGCCTGCAATATGGGCTTCAGCGCGATCATGTTGTTGTGCGACAGCGTCAGTGACTCGAACCGGCATATGGTGCTCTGGGACAGCGCGCCAACGCCCGGTAGTTTGAGGTTGGCCAGCGCCTTGCCCACGTCTGCCTGCGTCACGCCCAGCTTGATCCGTCGCTGCTTAAAGCGCTCCGCGAAGGCCTCTAGCTCTCGTGGGTCCGTGTCCGTATCCGGGTGTTGCAGCCCGGTGCCGCCACCCGCACTGATCATGCCGGCTGCCGCGGCCGCGGCCGCAGCCGCCGCGTGATGGTGGTGATGATGATGATGATGATGCGGGTGCCCATTCGGCCCGGCGCCCGAGTGTGGATGATGGTGATGGTGGCCACTCATCATGCCCGCACCGTACACGCTGGGGTGCAGCGGACCGTGGCCGGACCCGTCTGACATTGGGGTCAGTGTAGTCATCGTCGACGACGATATTGGTTCTAGGAGGTCAAGACCGTCCATTCCGGGATGCATCTGAGAACAAATAATATCGGTAAGTTTATAAGGCGTTATTGGCAGTGAGTTCAATCAAAAGTTGTTAACTTTCTAATGCAGTTGTTCTCAATTAGAGTTAAACCATCTGGCTGAGAATTAAATTGGACCGGAGCTTTAATTTTTTTTTTTTTTTGAGGAGGGGCGAATGACATTACCCATGGGTTCTGACAAGACAAAAATATATCTAATATTTGTAAATGCCTGCATAGCTAAAAATTATGATTAATACAAATATTCTTCTCACTATATCACCATTTACGACTGAAGACTTAAATATAGTTGGTGACTTGGAATGATTGTTTTTAGTTTGTACTTGTAACTTATAAAAAATGTTTTATGTTTAATCCAATTGAAAATATAATATTGATTTTGAATACTTATGTAAATAATATAATAATAACATAATCGGTTTTTGTACAGTTGGTTTAACTATCCAGAAAGTAATGCATTTAATTTTATCGGCTCGTAGAAAATGTTATGTTCATATTTTTATTCGTATAGGAACTTATGAACTAATATACTTTTTTTTCATGTACGAACTTACATATACAACTGCTAACCAGCTATTTTCATTTGGGAAATTACCAAAGCCCTCTTTTTTGTATTAGCTTATGAAGAAAAAAAAATATTTTAATGATTCTTTTTTATTGTACACATATTTTTGTATTAATATCAATCCATATTTTCTCAACAAATACAAAATAAAGTGATTTATTTGATTTTATTTTTAAAGACCATCTTTTAACATATTTCTTTATGAAAATTATTGATATCAATTTAATTATAAGTTATTTAAATTAAATATTACATTTGATTTTAGAACTTTATAAGATAAGTGAATTTAATTTAATTAGTTTCATAATCTTGTTCAACTTTGGCTGCAGGCTTAATATTTCTACTTTGAAGACAACCGCGGACCATCTATTGGGAACCACTGCGCCCTAATAATCTAATATTCTGATCGATTTAAACATTTTGTGATCACCAAAAAAATTATGTATGTAGATATGGTTCTCGGGTTATCATGTATTTATCATATCAATGTTTTTCACGGAAACTCCTCGAAAATGTTTTTAGCATTTAAAAAGCTATGAAGTTTTAAAATCGTTGATACTTTACATGTATTTTAAAATCGTATGGGAACTTTATTGCAACAAACCTTATAATAAGGGCCCTTAACTTTATGCATTTATGTATATTTTTTTGCATATTTAATTGTTTTTTACATAATTATGAATCAGCTAATATTAATTTACTCAACTTGTATTTAAAGTGCAATTATTTTAATAAATTTCAGTAGCATTTAAAAGTCTATGATTTGATGTTGCGTGACATTATTTTTCCATGGTAATATTTGAGCAACCATATTGGTTCTTGCCACATTCGTACACCTCAATAATAACACAAAAATGACAAACAATTTGTGAAAGAATACATGTACTACGAGAAAAAATGTTGAGCTACCATGATAATGTGTACTGATGTTTAACGGGACCCCTAGACCCCCAAAATTGCAGGGCACGTTCAGCACCGCATTTGTACTAATCCTGTTATTTTCATCAATTGTTCACCCATATTCAGCGAAATTAATTTGTTTTTAGATTGATGATAGGGAGGGGTTATCGTCTTGGAAATAATGGCACCGCAGTAACTTCACGCGATTGTATTTGCGTCAGTGTATTATAATATTATAAGCGTTATATATGTTCTGGGAAAACCAAAGGCGTATACATGGAATTTGCATAAAAAAATAAATAAACAAAAACATGGACGTGATGAGATTGCCGAATAAATAAAAACGCAAAGCAAATGTGGCGGCGGCGGAAGCAGTAGTATATGCACGGACATACACAAATAGGATCTGTAAAAGTGCGGGAATTTGAATTTTATGCACGAGGACGCGAGAATGAAAAGAAAACTCTCAAACGTCAGATACGTATACATAAATATATATATGTGTATATCAACTGTGCGTAACCTTCACAAAGGGTAGGTGCAAGAGTAGATTCACCACGCATGGATTCGTCGGGGAAAAATTGTCACAGTCGAGTATATATTTATATGTACATACCTATACGTACACACATATGCATGTACTTCCGTCCCGATCTATATGTGCGTGACATGCTATTGTTTATATGTAAATAGTTATACTGTACGGTACTTGTACTGGATACATGGGGTCGTGTGTGTCGCACGCGTATATACACACATATGCGTGTACATGTATATATTTATGTTTATAGATTAGAGTCGTCGGCGAGAGATAGCTCGGTGGCGGCAACGGAAAACGGAGGGTGAATACTGTGGTGAGGGGTTCGAAAGGGATGAAACAGCAAACGCAATCGAATGAATAATTGATTTGGATTGTTATTATACACGCACACACATGCACACTTGCGAGTGCGCCCTTATTCCGGCACGCTCACTCACCCATTGTCACATACACACATATACACACGTGAACACGGCCCTTGTCATCGTCGTCGTTTACCCCTTTCGATTGGTTATACAACGGCGAGGAGTATATTATTATGATTATTATTATTATTATTTTATACACACACTCGATGCGCGTTTCGGTAATGAGGTAATCGCCAAGTATACACACACGCACACACGGCTATATATGCGTGTGCTATTTCCCCGCTGTCGACCGGTTAGTCACAGCAGTGCAGTTCCCGCGCGACGTATATTTCATCATTAACTCGCTCTCTCTCTCTTTCGCCTCTCCCTCTTGTGTATACCGTTGTACAGTACCCTTCGTCTGTTGTAGTACACGCACGCGTAAACACCTATACGCATTTTCCACTGTCGCGGGGATGAAAGAGATAGGATGATCGTGTGAGAATGAAGAGGAATGGGATGAATGGGAAAGAGAGAGAAGGAGATTTGCGTGTCGCGGACGAGAATTCCGCTGGGAACGTAAGTCCATGCGTTTTTTGGAGGGCGGCGCTGTAAGTCTATATACGTACACACGGGCGGAAGTTAATGGATCGACAACTTTGACGAAGTGCCGCAGAGGAAAAATGTTTCCTTGCAAGGGATGATTCTCAACAGCGATGGTCGTGTTATCTGCCCTTTCGCAACTCGAACAAAATAATACAGGTATACTCGCACAATACCTCTATGATATAAAATAAATTTGACGCCTGAAATAATTTGTAGGTATGAGATAGAATGTAAGTGAAATTATCGTTTTCGTCCGTATTGATGATTTTCTGTCGAATGGAAAATGTCCAGTCGATCGACTCGCCCCATACAAGGGGGAGGAAAAATGATTAACGAATTTTGCGTTTGACTCACTACCTACTAAAAACAATATAATATGTTGTTATTATATTTTGTAAAATCAAACACATACGAGCTATACACAGTGGTAGTATAAAAACTGTTACGATTTTCATAATCAGATAGGATCTATAGAAAGCTTCAAGCTAATCGAATTTCATCGTAAAACGATTTGTTTTTTTCAAAAATAATTAAGCGTACGATTGAATATTTTATTGACTATTTTTCAAAGTGATTAATGAAATAAGGATCAAAAATAATTGAGAAAAAATAACATTTTAACCATCCTGGGATCTTCAACTGAAGCATATGTACATAATCTTGTGTACATAAGAAAATAAGTATGTATAAATGACAGTAAATCATGTGTTACTAAACTAACAAGAGTTATGATGATAAATAAATAATTAACTGAACTTACTGTTGATTATTAGTTAAAAAAAGTTAACTAAAGCTATTCAATATAACTAAAAACATACAATAACATTTGTACAAAATAATATAATATTTTAAGCTACTAAACGAGACAATTCAAATTGAAATTTATACTCATTTTATTCGTTTAAATTAAAATTAGAAAAATATATTTAGTGGTTTTGATTAACAAAATACTAATAAAGTGATACTAAAATATGTGTTATGGATACATCTAAACAATAATTTTTTTCCTACATGTACTGTAATTTTCAGTAATTTTGTAATTTATTATTGATAAGGATTAAATAAAATAACTATTTTTACACGTTTAATGTATGAGAACAGGTTGTGATATTAAAAAAACTGCAAACAACTTTAAAGAAGAATTAAAACAATTTTCATTTGATTTTATTAAAATCCACATGAGTCAACATATGTTACATCAAACTAAAATTCAGAGATTTTTGAATAATCAGTATATTTAATTATACGAGTAAACTGTATAGAGTTGTTGAAAGATACCAATAAAATGTATTGGTGTCTTATTTAATAACTTATATTAAAATATTATGATAATAAATTATTTTACAAGCTGCAGAAGATGAATTTTTGTGTGTTTATGATATATAGTAATTATGTGCATGTGCTTCAGTACAATTTTTTATGAACTTTTTTTATTAGAAATTGATATTGTAAATGAGCAGTTTTTCGTAGTTTACGATATTAAAACAACAAATGTTTTCAACACTATTATATCTTAACCATAGTCTATTGCGTTAAATGTAAGTATTTACCTGGTGACCCCGATGATTTGTTTGGCTACCTGAATGCCCACCGGCCATTCCGTGATGGTGGTGGTATGACGACATTACGTCGTGCTTGAGCTGAGTGAGTGGTCCAGGTGATCCAGTGGATCCAGGCCCCAGTGATCCATTGCCTTGGCCACCACCATTGCCGTTACCGGGTCCCGGTGATTGATGATTATGATGGTGGTGGTGTTTGCCCATGTCCACTGCAGCGAGCACTTCAGCTCTACTAAGCAGACCGTCATTGAGACCACCAAACAAGTCACCCTGTGGAAAAGGAAATATTTTCAAAAGTTAATTTCGCATGGTTATTTTAATTGTAATTGTTAAAATCTTAAAGTACGTGATTCCCTCTTAATGTACATTGATAATTATTTGAGCGAAAACTTCTTTGACGCAGACAATTCAGAGACACGACAGTTAATGAATAGAATCTTTAACCCCTGTCCTAAACGGTTACGTTTTCTCATTATTCGTGGAATAAATGCACTGTACGTAAAGGCTTTCGCGTTAAGAGAAAATTTACAGTGGACTTATGATGCCCAAGTTAAGAAGTATGACGTTTACTGAAGACGTCAACGAGCGAATATGTACAGGGTTTACTCACCGGGATGTTTTTTTTTGGGGGGTGTGCGACAAGTACTGTTAGACTTTAGACATGAGTCGTCAATTATTTATGAGCTTCCCATTACTCTCGTACTTTTTTATACGGTCATTGAAAAAAAAAGGGGAAAAAAGTATGGTGTGGAATGAAATCATTTATTTGGATACCACGAAAGAGAGATTTTAATTACAATAATGAATAAAAATATGTACACATTTATGATATAAGATCTTATAATGAGGGAAAATAATAAATTGTTTTTGTATATTATATTATTTGATGGTATGAGAAAAGTAAAGAGCAAACAGCATTTTTCTCTCTCTGATTTTGAGAAGATAAACAACCTTTTATTTGGCTTTTTTGTATTAAGTATTTTGATAAGATGCAAACTACCAGTTGTTAAATATTGAATTTCTAAATGAAAAATTTTTAAGTATAAATTTTGAAATTTGCACTCCATAAAATACAATTTTTTGCCAAAATAAATTATTTGTAATAATTATTGTACTTTCAATTTTATATCTTATAAATAACATGTATAATATATAAATTCTAAGTTATAATTTTAGTCTATGAGCAATTATTCAAATATTCCAGTTATTAAATACTCAATAAGTATTAATATACTTATTTATGTTTGAGAAATCGTATACAGTAATTTTCATTATTAAATAGTCCGTAAAATAACTACTGTAATAGTATAATATATAATTCGAAAAACAACGAATACTTCACTAGATACCTCGAAATCTTGTGTTCGTTGTACTATAAAGTTTATCTTTTATCATTATTTAAATTACTAGTAATGATAATCACAATTATAATTTACAAATAAGTCTTCTTTAATAAATTTTCTTTCATAAAAATTATTATAACGGTCATGGTTATCTTTATTATACCGTCTTATATATTTTCAGTGTAAAAATAAATAAGTAATAATTATAAATCGAATGTGTATTTAAAAATTAAATATTAATTATTATTTATGATACTTCCAATAAAAATATTATATTTATAATAAATACATTATAATCCCATATAAATATCCGAGAAATGGGATACCTTTACTACCTCAATGAAATTATAAAAGGGCTAATGTTTCTCTACCCACTACTAGGACAATATTGTGTGGCATGTGAATACTTTTTTAAAAATTAAATGCGAATAATAATTTACACTACACGTCAGATGCCATTTAACTGTAGTTATAAATGGCATAAATTAATCGCTGAAATATATTCCCTTTAGAGCTATTTCGACCAACGAAATTATAATTATAATTACTCTTGGTCCTACGACGGCCGATATTTCTTAAAATAGTTCATTATACAAAACATTAATTTTAATAATAAAACGTGAGGCTTATCATAACTAATCAATTACAATTATAATATTTTTACATAAAATGCACATGTGTTTTAAATGCAGTAATTAATAATGAATAATTTTACGAAATTTAGATTCATCAGTTTATTGTTATTTTAATTTTAAATTTGTTATTTAATATTTAAGTTTATTATGTTATACATCAGGTATGGAAGATTTTTTATACATATACTGAGGATATATTTTTTTGTCATTCGTGTATTGATTGAGTTGTATCACCCATTTTTAAGTGTAGTACATGAACTACTGGTTTGTAGAAAGTAAAGAGTACGTTTTCAGCTTTTCACTTTTACTTTTATTATTTATACGGAACACATTAAACTCTGTCTCAATGTATTTTGTCCTATGGTCAGGACTAAAAATTAGTATTATTATTAGTATTAGAGATCGTGTCCATAAAATCAAGAATATAATGTGATAACAGAAAGTTATCACATATTTAAGTTCATTAAAAACAAGTTATGAAAATCAATTATGAAATAAAATGGTAATTACTAATCTAAATTGTTTGAAACTAATACATTTCTCATGACAGTAATACAATACTCAAAAAATATCTATATACTTTTACTGCATATTAATACTATTGCTATTTTTATTAAGTATAATTCTTCTATTATTACTATATCTGTTTATTGAAATACATTTCATATGTGTACTATTCGGATACAACTGAATTTTATTTTGTTTTTTATTATCACAATGCAGTCAGTTAATTATTGGTGATATTTAATTTAAAATTCATATACAACTATACTGTATACTGTATGTATTCATCATTTTTTGACAACAGTTTCATTTTTAACTGTTAAGATATCGACAAAGATATTTTGGTCCTTGAAAAATTTAATAAATGCTTCTTTTACACTTCTAAATCTATTACTAAGACTATATACGTTCTATAATAAGTATCATTTAAATTTAAACAGTATTTGTGCAATAGTTTATGATATTTATAATTCTTATCCAAAAATATCATAGTTTACTAATGTATAAACTAAAATCTGCAATATAGAATATTACCTAAAAAAATAGACTATACCCTACGGGAATAATTTGAAAATGAACAAGTATTGCCGTAATTATGAACCATTATTTCCTGATATTTACAAACTGAAGTTCTAAAGTCTTTTAAATGCGTTTTTAAACCTGATTTAGGAGCTTGAACAAGAAGTTTCTATAGAAGTTCCCTCGACGCTTCTTTATGATACAACTTTATAAGTAATTTTGGTTCTTATCGGGTTATCAGTTATTTTGATATTCCTGTGGTAATTTATGTATAAAATTTATTTTAGTTTTAATTTCTCTATCATTATAAGGTTTATGTTCAAAAATTAACAGCCATACATTTACAGTTACCAGTGGCTTCATCATAATTATTAACAGATTTTAAGATTTAATTTTTCTTAACTTGCTGTACGTATAAAATTATTTATTTTATAATTATTTAACAATTTACTTAAATTATTTATATTATAGTTTTAAGACATAAGCAATATACTTATAGATATGTCTAGTGTGTTATATTTATAAATTATAAATATTTTTCATGTTTAAATTTATTAAATTTATTGTACCTACACATTTTACAACTTTATAAAGACATTCGGTTAATTAAGAACCAATATTTTTTTAAATTATTTCAGTATTGAAATCACACAATTTATTATCAACAATTTATATAAACGTTAAGCATGGCAAGTGCATTATGATTTATAATGAATATGGATTTATGATTTAAATTGTAATTTTTGGTCAATGGAATACGGAAAGGTATCATAGATTTTAAAATCTGTAAAGCAATCGATTTTATCGGGTTATAATTTATGAAATAACTTTAATATTTTCTAAGAATAACTAATATATCATTATAAATAATGAAATTTTTTTATTTTCACTTCATTGTAAAATTATAAATACAATGTAAAATTAGTATAATTTTAGAATCTGACTGTATGTACGATATTTTGTGAAAAAACAAAAATACTTTATTTTGAAATAAAATGTATTTTTTCATCATTTAAGATTATAGATAATGGTAAATGAATCTCATGGTTTTGTTTTTTGCCTTCGACATGTTTAATTTAGGAGGTTTGCAAAGCAGTAAAAAGCTTTTAAAAAGGGCTTAACTTAAAAAAAAACCCTCTTTGCGTCATGATAAAGTTTGTAGATTTTGTATAACCATAATATAAAAACGTAAAAATAAATAAAAACTCCGAAAAATACGAGATGATAAAATTAAAAACAAATAAAGAAAAACATATTCCACAGTCACGGAATCTCCCCGGTTTTCCTACAAAATAAAAAATTTAAATGTTACTAATATTTTGTTTTGCCCGATTTAATTTACAGTATGTAAACGCTAACTGAGAATACTCAAAATCATTATATTATATATAATACAATTACATTTCAAACTATCAAAAGTTATTAGATGCTGAATTATAATACAGTTTTTTTAAAAATACGATTGCACGTCTAAATTTTTCAAAATTATTTCCATATGCCTCAAATAATAAAATCATTACATTTAGTTTTAATTTAATAAAAATGAACAATCAAAATATGAGAACTATTTATTATAATACACAAGATGACTGAATGAGAGGTTAATTCAGAGTCAGTTTATCGTTTATAACAATTAACGTTCACGAGCACTGGCGACCAAGACGATAAATATTTCATGTGTTAACCCTTGTTGTTGGAACGTCAAGAGCGTATTAATATTTGCCAGTTAGCCCCTTGTTCGCACCACGAGATGGTTTCCACTTGCTATCGGTGCGTAGGTGGAACGAGAAGTGTGTGGCGTGTTATCATAAATCGTCACGTATACAAGGTAAACCGCAACAACCTAGACATTTCGGATTATCAGAGAGAGTCGTTAATATAATATGTTACCCGAACATACAAACACACACACACACACGCACGCGCTATGGTTATAACCCGCCCATGGTTATAATCGACAAACGTTGGTGTTTCTTTAGATGTCTGACGATAAACGTGGTTATATTCTCTCCATGGCCGTTCGCGCTATATGCATGCAAAATCGTGTTCACGATGACATGGCTGATAATGTTTTTGGTTTTCGGTATAGGCAGTAAAAAACGGCAGTATAGGATTATTTAAAATAATTCTTCGTTTAGACATGTACATAATGTATTGTCAATCGACATTGATTGGATTAGATGTGCGGAAAAACAGTGTTATAGTATTGAGTAAAAGCGTTGTGACGGTGGGGGGGGCTTCATGAAATATTTATGACGTACTGGATCGCTTTTTTTTTTTACCTTCCACCTCGATTTCGGAGAAAGAGTTTTATAAACAAACGCACATCGTCAACTCGTTTTTGAATATATACAAATATACGATAAAATAGGTACTGTCAACACTTGTGGGTTCAATGTCCTTATTGATACGAATGCATTACGTCGGAGGATTATAGGAAAAGAGAATATTATATTTATAATCAAAAATAGTTACTTACATATTGATAAACTATAAGTTCCAGATATTATATCATATTCATATATAGTATTCACGCATAAATATATCTTTATGGTATTGTAATGCTATTACATATTAATCCATTTAAAATTTTTTTCTCTATTTGAAGAAATTTTATGGGTAAAAGAATAATTTTTGATCATTTTTTATTACAAAATAACTAAATAATTATTCTTAAAATATTTTTAACGTACTCATAGTTATACAATGTTTTACGGTTAAAAAAACAGAATTCTTTATCGGTTCTTCACAGAAAAAAACATTAATACTATCGTTTAGTGACAGCTTTCATTTTTGTATATTGTTTTATTCATCTTTGTTCGATACAAAAATAGTTTAGAAAAACGTGAAATTATAACTAAAATAAGTATTTTATGTCTACAATAAATCCTATGAGTACGATGAGTACGATTGAATGTTGTTACTTGTAAAATTATTTTTTCCGCTCTATGATATCATAAAATATTTTCCTCTGTAAAAACCATAGTATGCCGTTTAAGTATGACATTAAATTAATGTATCATATAACCAGGGTTTATTCTTAAGCGCAGTTTGGCTTATTTTGCGTACTCGGAAAAGGTAGATGCGCACTTGATAATAAACTTTTGCGTAATTGATTTTTAATTCAATGTTGTTTAGTGTTATTTTATACATTACATTATGATTTATAAACAAAGTAAAAAGAAAATTTATTAAAAAATTTAAAAAAAAATACTTTGAACACGAATGTAAATTATTTTATATATTTTAAATACATTATATTTTAAATTACTTCACATAGAAGCTACAAATTTTATCATTTTTAACTATAATTTGACAGTATATTTTGAAATCATAGTTCTATTTTGATAGGCTTATTTAAACAAAATGCGTATTTGATAAAAATCCTTAGAATAATCCCTGCATATAACTAATATACATGTTGCATTGTCGGTATCATTATTATTTTAAAATCAGTCTTCGGTGAACACACACACATATATTGGTATAGTAGATACGTTAGATACGTTAAGTTCGTGAATACGGATTGGGTCGATATAGGTATATGTTTATATATATATATATATATATATATTCGGTCAAATTTCGTGTAAAGAAATCCCAAGAGGAGATTTATGAATCCGACTTTGTGTAATCGGACTAGCGAATGTGAATCGCACGGCGTGCTATTTAGACATCATCTCCGGTTTGCTCTATTTGGAAGCTTCCCAAAGCGTTTTCCTTTGCAGGCATTACGCCATCGGAGAAATTCTGCCTCACGTATCTGGGATAGTAGTTAGCGGGTCGGGTAGAATAAAGGGCGCAGATACTACCGGGAGCTCATTTATTATTTAACGGAGCCGCGAACGGGACGGTTTTAAGGCCGCTTGTGTGTTCTCTTCCCCAGCCGTCGCTCGACCCACCGAATAAAGTCCTTTTAATTCCTGTTCTCGAAGCCACTTTGCGACGACGAAAACCAAAAAGCCTTGCATTTTACTGATGATTTTTAGTTTATAGTCTTCGTCCTCCCTCATTTTTACTCCCGAGAGTTTCGTTCTCACTCGAGGGACTTTTTTTTTTAATGTGTCGGCTAAATTGTTTCGTCCTTGGCAAAAATGGAAGAATTAAAAAGATAAAAATACAAATAAAAAAAAAAAAGTAGAGAAAAAAAACGACACCCTCAACTGAGCGAAGAAAGAAAAATACGGTTCTTATTAATGTTCTCTTTAATACAATACTGTCTGCAACGTTTAGGACCGCTTTTAACGAAAATAAAAAAAACTTTTTTAACAAGTGCTAAGTCGATTATATAAGCCTCGCTTTCCTTGACAACTGAAATAATAAAGCTCACCTAACAAATCTTGACAAGCAGGTGGATGTATAAAACTGTAATTAGAAAATATGACATAACTTGATTGTAATGTACATGTATTGTTGATAAATTGATTTCTATATTGTTATTAAAAGATACTTTTTTAACTTTTCTAAAATAATAAAATAGTTATCTATCCTTAAAGCAACAACTAATAAACTGCATAATACGGTAAGTATACGATTAATTTATTATTTAGCAAGTTTATCATTGCACTTTGATAAATATATTTTACACGAAATTTCGTAAAAATACAAAAAATTCATAAAAAAAACATACATTGTGCCGTGGAGACCAAGTGTTGCACATGAATGAGGATGCATCCTCCAGAATCCGGCTCTGAAAATATATGAAAATCAAAGTTAGATATATAGAAATACTTCAAAAAACTTCATTTTTGTGGACACAAGTAAATATTTTTTATTCGGGTATATTGTATTTTTATTTTATAAATTATTCATGACAAATTCACAAAATCCCAGATTTGTTTGGACATTATGAACGGATATTGGTATAATTATTATTTTCAATTAAACTAACATGTTGAAAAATAAAATAAATATTTTATTCCTAAAAGTTATTTTACATATGTATATATATAGGTGTGGTGATGTCAAATGTGTAAATAAAAAAAACTAAATGTCATTTGAGTATAAAACGATTAAATATGCGTTTTCCAATTTAAACATTTTTTTTTTTTACATTGAAGTAGTACTTGCTCTACTCGTTCATTACATCCATCTAAATAGAAATTCCAATACCGTTGCAATTAATTTTCATTGCAAAAATTAATAATACAAAAGTTGTAGTATGACTGTTGTAGTATACGAGTTTCGTATAGGATTATATTACAAACCTATAGAAAACTCGTATAAACATATTGCAATATGATAATACATTTTTATCTCTATAATATATTTATTGGGAACAGATAAAACAGCTCAAATAAGGCCTTTGCGCGTCCGCGCAAACCGGACAGTAATGTATTATAATGCCCTCCAGACCCGCGTTACCTTTTTCGAGGCCTTGGGAAAAACTTATTTTACCCACAAAAATAGGCACTTATACCCTGTAGGCCACAATTAAAGGCGATAACATGTAATCAGACTCGGTGATACTGCACGCGATATGGGATAATAACTGATTAAATTTAAGAAATTTGATAAAATAAATTTCCTACGTATCCCGGTTTTCATATTGTGCGGCATGGTGCATACATGACATGATAAATATACTTTTGTTGTTTTGTTAATTGGTTTTTTATTACACGCCAACGGATTTCTCTAGAAATCACACTTGCCAGGTAATCCACATATTTCACGTTTTATTCTATGAGATTTCCGTACAAGATATTTTTCAATGAAAATTTTAAGCGTGAGGCCCTGGACAAACGCCACGTTTTGCCTTCACCTAACGCCGACCCTGTGCCCGTCATTATATTGATAATTTTAAACCAGACAGCACCCAACCGTCCCGCCGGCAACCGATTTCCTCGGTAAATCGACGAATACCATCGTCATCACGTCTCTATTCGTTTCTAGGGGCTGTCGGAGTGTGTTCTGCAGGTGTCCGTCGCGACACACGTACAGCCTAGAGTGCCTCGATAGAGAGAGTGTGGCCATACGGACTGATAAGATATGATAAGAGATTTGGTCGCCATTAGTTTGCTAAATACTATTACCAATTTAGTATTTAGTATGACATAGTCATTACATTATAATATTAATTATTAAATAATGTACTAAAATAAAGCATTTGGGAGCTTTATAATTATTTATAAATAAAATAATTAATAGGTAGGTATAGGTTAGGTAGTAGGTACAATTAGTTATTTGATTAATTTGAATAATCATTCAATGTGTGTTTTTTATTTAATTTTACAAATTATGCCTCAATAACTGTCCTCTATTTTTTTTTCTTCAGGCTTATATGGTAACCTTAGTAATTGCACATCTGTAAATTAAACATATATATAAAAATAAAATCAATGTTTATGAAATATAAGTGTAAGCAAAGCATAATAAAATAGTGCTAATATTGTGTAACAGACAAGTATAATTATTATAAGCTCTTCTATATTTAAAACAATTAACATAAACTGTACTTTTATATATTTAAAAAATCAAAACAAATTATATCTTATATGTATATATAAAAAATAAAAAAGCAAAGTCTATCTAATAAAAATAATTAATACCACTAAAAATAAGTAAAGCATAGGAAAAATATCAAGCATGGCAAGCAATAGACTTGCTTCCATATTTATTTAGTAGCTTAGTATTTTTTCTTCCTGCTATTTTCAAGCGAAACAGAATGAATCTACTTATTATATGCATTTCATGCTCATCTTTGAGTGTTTCAATTTTTATTTGTAAAAATTTAAAAACTTCATGCAAAATGCCAGTACCAAACTTTAAATGCTGAAGTCTTCTCCTTATTGTTCTTAAAGATGGTAGAGGAATATTTTGTTTAAGTAATTCTTCATACCCATTATTGCCACAACTAAATTTTAGCTTTAATGCCTTCATTACAGTTGAATTGGACCATTTCATAAATTTTGTGGAATTTCTATTTAATGCATTTATCTGGTCAATATTAAAAACTGAATTTAACATTTGAGTATTTTTTGTGTCATTACTTATTTTTAACTTATTTTTCAAATATTGCAATTGTTTTTTATATCTATTTGCTTTACTAACTGTTCTTTTGTATTCCTTTTCATACTCCAACATTTTTTTTAACATACTTTCATACTTCATTTTATTCTGATTTTCTGAATTATTTGATTCCAAATTATTATCTAAACTTACATCATCATTATCACGAGTTTGTTGATATGAAGTTTTTAATTTTTCTTGTGGCTTTGAGACTTGATTATTTATAATAGATGTTACTTGCCTATATGTAGGGGGTTTTCTTTTTGTTTTTTCTTTTGTGAAAGAAAATATAGTTGGCACAGCATCATTTTTCAACCGCCGACTTCCATCTTCACGTGTTTTTTCCCACATATCTTCTCCAAAGTGGATCTAAGAGAGTAAAATAATAATAAATATGCAATTCAAAATATTTGTAACTTTTTATGTAAAAAAATATTAAGAAAATAATTGAAACTCACTTCACATAAACAAGAATAGTTGGTAGGAGACCAATTATCCCTCTTCATTTTAACTAACCATAATTTTCTTCTAACTTTGTCCTTAGGAAAATGCTTCATTAGAAATCCTTTTGTAACAGAATTGGAACAATTGATTGCAGCACATCCAGGCATTTTCAATTCACGCTTAAAAAATTCTAAGATCTAACTATTCTTTATATATCTTGAAAAAATCCAAATTAGATTGCATCTATTGCATTGACAACAATATAAAAACACTGTTATCATAATATAGTTAGCAAACTAATGGCGACCAATTCATTCGGCCAATCAAATTTGTGATAACGTATGACCACACTCTCTCTATCGAGGCACTCTAGTACAGCCTAAACACATCCAACCGACGTTACGTGCTATCAACTTGTGCCAATCGCGTGTGAATATCTTTTTGTTCTTGTGCGTGAGCGTAAACCAGGCTATTTGCACCTTCGTCACGCCAACCTATCTCGTTCGGGTTTTCCGTCACGTTGGTCCCGTCTGATACGCACAAGATCATCGACCACGTGTCCACATGAGTCTTTCGAGTATCGTCGTCCTGGTGCGTATTCCTGATTTGTTTGCGATCGGCCGCGGTTGATTTGTCGCCGTTGCCATGCCGTAACTCTGTCATGCGGCCAGTTCGAGTCTTCAGCATTCACCATTAACGGCGCCATTCCGCTTCGACCGGTTCCACTAATCGTCATCCGTTCCAGGAGTGTCAGGTCACGTTTTTTTTTCTTTTCTTATTAATGTGTGATTATTTTATTCGTATTTGTTCATTTTTATTATGTAATAATGTTATAGCGATTAAGCATCCTCACCACTAACTCTACATTTAGATATTTCGTTATTTATTATTTACGACGCATGTTAATATATGTCAAATAGTTCTTATTCAATTCATATTGTTATTAATAAAATCAGTTTACTTACTTATATACGTATATATATATATATATATATATATCATCCTCATTTTTTTCTCGTTTTCATTCCTCATACAATACACTTTTTTTTAATCTTTCCTACCATCTCTTCCAGCCAAAACTAACAGCAATACGACCAACGAAATACACTGAATAAATTTATTTATTCGTTTTAAAGGTCCTAGTCGACAATATTGATGCATATATTAGCAAACGGAGCCAAGTTCATGCTTTAAAATTGACCGTATACTATACAGGTACGTGTAAGTTTATTATTTTATTTATACTTTTTAATTTTATGTATGTATCAAATACGTGCGAAGTTGAATTGTATCGAGGAAATAATCGGTATACCGAGGAAACGTAGGCACTCTGAAACGCCCTCCGCAGCAGTATATAATTCGGACGTTTTAAATACATCGCCAGGCGTTTACACACACACATACATAAATATATATATGTATTATATAACTATACAACCACTCGAGTGAATTATATTACATATCCCATACAGTTAAATTGTGCATAAATCAAACGTATATATTTATACGTGATGTACAATTACACGAAAAGGGGTTTCCGTATACCGTCGGTGGCGGTGGCTGGATTTGCGTCACGTGTCATTTTCCCACTTGGAACGTCCGAGCTCCGGTGATGTGATAATCACTCGCACGTGTATTGCATTACGCGTGCACTCGTAACACAGACGTTCGTAGGGGGATGGATGTGGGGTATAGGGTATAGAGAGAAACTTCGCTTCAAAATTCAGTTAGTACTTGACAGACGGTCGTACGCAAAATAATTACCATTACAATGCCGGTCGACTATATTTCGTGTTTTGACACATCGCACGGTTGTTATTATTTTACCTCTCCGGAGAAAAAAACCGAAAAACCGAAAAAATAAAAAAAAATATTCCTCACACTCATACAATATATAGCTCATATATAAATATATATAATTAGAAACAATGAAAAAAAAATGAAACATACACCAAATTAAATCCAAAGTAATTAATGTAATTGCATCGGTAAGCGTACAGAATAACAATAAATCATTATAACACCGTTATATACGAGATATACGCCGCCAACATTTTTAGCGGACTTTTATTTATACTCATTTTTTGAACCCTTACAAAAAACGTTTTTCAGGTAAATATAAGTACGTACGATATATAAACATTATAATTTAGCTGACCGCATGCGTAACGTTTATGTTAATCTGATGTCGAAGGATGTGAACATATTATACTCGATCACTTGATGTGGACTCAGATG